ACAAAATTTTTAGAATTTTTACTCAACTTCTAAATCAGTTTGATAATTGAAAGTCCAAAATTATATTATTATTCAATGGTAAAGATTGGGTGAAGATTCTCTTTTCTAATGATTTCACTTCATTTAAAACTATAGTAAAGTTCATTTAAACTGAAATAACATTAGTTCATTCCTTCGAATGTAAAAATAAATTACATTACAAGTATATATAAGCTAGAATTGGCACTGCTAGAAATACTCTTTTTCCGCGTTTAAAATTACCTTCTATAAATAGGTATTAGTAAATACATAAACAAAGGTGAAAAGTGCCAGATATGATTATTCTATTTTAATTTAAATAAAAGGAAATTTTGCCTAAAATTTCAAGAAAGTATTCAACTTTATCTCTCTATCATTTTATTTTTGTAAAATACTTCTTCATAAAAATATAAAATTATTAAAAAAAAGGGAAAGAAAAAAATACTTTTATATTCAAATCTTAATAAGTAATTAGCGAGATGTTGTATTTTCATCATCATTTTTCTCCGAAATTGTATAAATATGTGCATTTTAGTAAGATGTTAGCAGCATGTCTTTCAAAAATTGCTTTAATTTGGCATTAGAAAATTAACCGAATGTAAAAATTTCAAACAGTTTTGTGATGATCAAGATGTGATTTGTGATTAAAATTTTGATGTTAAATTTTTATACATTTAGGAGGGGAACTAAGCACTTAAATTTAGTAGAGAAGGGTATGCGTCGATAGTTTAGCTTATGACGCGCAGAAGCATGTGCGTCATAAACTAAATCAGAGTGTTCATGAATTAGCATTAAATAAACATTGAAATTCTTTAAATGTATTCATACGATGCTTTTATATTAAGCTGAAATTTGTAACACTACATTACAGATCAGGAATTCTCGAACGTTTTAAAAATTTGTACTCTACCGCCGTGAATAAATATGTGAACCAAACGAGAGCCATTTTACATTCACTTCTGTTGTGTAAAATTTGTGTCACCAAAGTAACGTAATACATCATTTAGGTTATATATACCACAGTTTGAAGAAACCTACTATAGATTGCTGTTGTTGCTTTCATCTTTTTACTCTCTTGTACGAAGTAGAAAGGAAGTATTGTAATCGCGAAAATTTTCAGACAGCATATTTCAACAAAAATATAGATTTTGACCGCTATCGAATGCAATTTAACGATGTTTTTGCGTGACATCTGTACTTTAGGGCACTCTTTTACCAACCAAAAAAATTATAAAACTGATTTTAAATGAATTCTGAAGAGAACTTTTTGTGGTGTCTGTAGGTATGTATATACGTATCTCGCATAACTCAAAAACGAGAAGCCTCAGAACGTTGAAATTTTGTATCTAGGACTGCTATAACATAAATGTGCACCTCGTATTTTGGTTACAATCGGCCGCATCAAACTTATATAAATATATGTAATTATATATATATATATATATATACTCTGTTACCCGGCTCAGTGATCTCAGTTTCTTTATTCTTATATATTTGTAAGTTGTGCATATTTTGCTTTAAAAATGATTGAATTATGTTGTTCTTATCTTCCGGTTAAGGTTTTTATGCCTTTGGTAAATCTGCATGCAATATTTGCGGAATTATCAACAAGTTAAATGTTGTTTAAGTGCAGCTAAGCGTAATGAATTTTGCGATGGCGGAACATGTTTGTTTACATTTGAAACTTTGGCAGAAATAGCGGATTTGTTTCCAATCTAGAGAGAACTAAGCTTCGCTACAACACAAGATAACGCCTTCTTTTATTATTGCAGAATTAAATCATGCTTTTAATCCATTTCTGGAATTTTTTCGGAGGGAAAAAGTGTTTAAGATTTACTTCGTAATTTTTAATATATAGATATTTTGAGTTTTTATGTATTTTTGCCTTGTCGCGAAGTGAGAACTGAATTAATTGAATGAGAAATACTGAATCGTGTTTGAAAAACTCTTTCTTTTTTGTTTTGTTTGCTTAATTTCTTTTATACGTCGTTTTAGATTTATTATAGTATTTGAACAGAACATGTCGCAACGATTAGATAATTCTTCAAATGATATAAATTTTGTGCTTTCTGAGTTATAATATGAACGAAATATAACGGTGTTAAGTAAAGCTAGCATCAGAGTGTCGCTAGGTTAAACAAATATAGTGAATTTTAAAGAGTGCATTTATTCTATGGTGGTTTATACGCTATCGACGAAGTAAATTTAACTCAATCCAATAATTTTAAATGAAATGCAAGAAAACATGCGTATAATTTAATATTCCGTGCAGGAAGTCATGTGGTGTACACATCAGATTTTGTTCTTCTTGCTGCTGTTGTTCTATTTTTTCTATCTATTTTTTATTCTTGCTGCTCTTGCTTTTATCTTATTTTAAAATCTTTTTGCTATAGCTTTCATAGAAAATTACAGTTCCATGATAATAACTTCTAACGTTTTTATGTTCAAAGCCTATTTCGCCAACTTACATAAAAATCTTTTAATATATTTGTGTAATTAATTTGTAGAAACAAGTAAGAAAACGCAAATAATTCTAACCTACGAGATGATGAACAGATAACTGAAGCTACTAGAGCTTGGAAAGGTATTTATTCAATCAGAGAGTATGCAAATGAGCTCAGTCTTTGCACTGATTGAAATCATCTCTGATGTCATTTATTTTACTTTAATTTCGTTTTCTCCTTTTACGAAAAAGGACTGATACAAAATATGTTTGCTGCTCGTGTTGTTTTCCTTCTTATAACTTTTTTAGGGATGATCACCTATTTCTATGCAGCAAAAAGATCAAAATTTTAATGATAAGCTTTTGTTATAATTTTATTTGAACTGTATCAAACTTTTGACACTTATTTTTTCAATTTAGTTAAATTGAAAACCATTATTACTTTTTTCCTGAGAAAAAACAAGAGCAGTCTAATTTTTATTTTAATTATTTCCCATATTTTTCGTTTCATTTTCTTTATTAATAACTTTTTCGTTTTCTCCTCTTCAACTTTTTTTGCTTCATAATCATTTAAACTCTGTTTACAGCTTTTCGTCAGATGCGACACGATCATGACAATTCTATATTTTTTGGATACTAGTTATGAAAACAGTAGATTTTAACAAGCTTGAGAAATTTGCATTTTAAAACAATTTTAATGTTATTATCACGACTTGTTATGACATTCATGACTAATAAGATTTAGTACTTTGTAACTAAAATTTACAAAAATCTCTCCTCCATGGGAAAGAAATATAAAACAGTTAATTCAAGGGTTTTATGTGAAGTTTGATCACATTTAAAACTTACGTGAGGTGCGCATGTGTCTACTGATTTACAATAAATTTGTTGCAATCGTGCAAAAGCTTAACATATGATAAATTGTTTTTTCTTTCAGTGCGAAAAAAAAGCACTTGGAAACTCGTTCTACTACTCAATAGGCGAAACACATGACAAAAATGAAATATATGCATGATACCCACACATTAAAAAAACACGAACACTTACATCAATAAGTAAATATTAAAAAAGTCTTGTGGTGGTGTTAACAAAGGGGAGTTTAAAGTGGTGCTAACGATGTGGGGTTTTAATTCAAAAATTGTTATATAGAAATTCAAAGAAACTGAACGTAATCATTCTTATGTATACCATTTCTTTATTATCACTTCCATTGATCACTGAAATTCTTTCAGTGCTTTAATATAGTTGATATTTCTGTATCTCCAGTTGTATTTTTCTCGCTTATAAGCAAGAATATTATGCTAGCTATAAAATATTTTTGCTATTTAGTGCACTTGACTAAAATTATTTAACTATAAGTTTTATATATGTAAATTATTTTATATCTTTTTTATATTTAAAAGTACGAAAAATTATAAAGAAAGAAATAAAATCATCCCATCTGAAATGTTAAAAATTATTCGATTGAAGAAATGCAGTACCCAAGTCCGAGTGACATCTTTTTTGAAGGTCTTCCGATCTATTGAATTACATAAATTTATACTAAAATCATTTAAATAATTTGAATTCATTTTTAATTTATAAATCTGATCTAATCCTTACTTAAAAACCATGAGGTGCTAACAAAGCGATTAAACCTTTTAACTTAAAAGACTATATCTGTTAACAGCTGCAAGATAACCAACAAAGTTTTGAAAAATTTGAAAATTTCCGTCAGTTATATCGGAAATTTTAAAAAAACTTTGGTTTAAAGATTACTTTTCAATATCTTTGATAGCATAAAAATCAAAATTCTGCGATGACGCTTAATCAAAAGTAAATATGTAAGAAAAATAAAAACAAAGTTAAAATCTCAAATTCTGAAAAATCTTCCTAAGGAAACTGTCATTATAAATATGCACGTTTGCATATGTTCGTGAAAACTGGCATCGTAAAGGAGAAGCGAAAATTAATTTCAAGATTCACCCCAAACAAAAAGAGAAATAAATAAAACCGCGCAGAAAAATTTTTGTTTCTAAAAATATCAGTTCTTATGAAAATTTTAAAACTAATTAATTTCATGCAATGCATAATTTAACACCAACTTAAATGATCATACGAACTCTAAATAACATATTAGCTCTTTTCCGAGTACGGGATATTTTATTTTTTAGTAGTTAGTATTTTCTAACTGTTTAAAATAAATAATCCTCCAAGTTTCATTGCATTTATGAGTCATTAAGAACTAGAATACTCTTAATAACAATTAATATTGTCAGGAGAAGGAATCGTAAAAAAAAAATAATAAAAAAATTTTTTAAAAAGTTAACATTTCCCAGACTCATAAAAGGGTTTATTTACGAAATTCCTCCGCTGGTTTCTTTTTTTTTTTTTTTTTTTTCTTTTTTTTTCTTCATATTTTACGTAAACTTTAACCTTGGTATCAAGTTCTTGGAGATAAAAAACTAGTTCCTTGTGGGTGGCGCAGTATAAAAATTTGAACTTCTGATAGGTAATAAGATTTTTATTATAAAATATATAATACAAATCAATTACTTACCCATACGATCCAAAACATTGCGGCAAGGGTTATAGCAGTAATTACAAATCCGAGTCCAAAACAAGCACCATAACAGAAACGCGCAGCGAGTCTGGTTCCTGTGCCGTGATCTGAGCCCATTGCGAATGCGTCTGCAAAACGGGCAGTTTAAAACCCCCTCCAGGCGTTTGTTTCACGTTTGCAGTCGCCATATTCGAGGAGGACCCCAATCCGGTTTGACGGCAACTCGTTGCAACGCAGAAGGTAATCCTTTTGGAACGATTATATTGTTTTCATTCCACTGACATCATCAATTCGTGAAAAAAGAAGTTGTTTTGATTCTGTAATTATAAGAAAAGATGTACTCTGTCGAAGCATATTTTTTCTTGAATGCCTACTCAATAGTACTTAATGATAGAAGGAAGACATACCGTAAAAACACAAATGTAGATAAATATCTAAGAGAAACTTGGAAAAGAAACATTATGTTGAACAATCAACACTATTGCATACTTCTTGTAAATATTTGAGGTTTTAAAAACATAGAACGTCTTCCACAATACTTTTACAAAAGTGTGAATTCCGCCCCCCCCCAATCTTTTTAAAACCTTTTTTCTGTTTTGCCACTCACAAGTTTTTACAATATGTTTAAATTTAACCATTGACATTTATATTAGTATTCCAAACAGTTATTGTAATTTTTTTTAATATAAGAAACTTTTATCTAAGGGAAATGAAGAATATATTTTATTTTGTAATGCTGAAGGCACCAAAAAGTTGCAAAAAGTTCTGAAGGCACCAAAAATATCCAAAATAGATTCCATACAGCTTCTTCCACAATACTTTTACAAAAGTGTGAATCCCCCCCCCAATCTTTTTAAAAACTTTTTTCTGTTTTGCCATTCACAAATGTTTACAATATGTTTAAATTTACCCATTGACATTTATATTAGTATTCCAAACAGTTATTGTAAATCTTTTTAATATTAGAAACTTTTATCTAAGGGAAATGAAGAATATATTTTATCTTGTAATGCTGAAGGCACCAAAAGTTCTTCTATCAAAAAAGTAGAAGGCCGAAAAGTTCTTGCCTTCTATTTAAAATAGACTGCATTCCGAGTCTTCCCCCTTTATTAATTTTAAAGTATCTCAGTTTTTGTCCGGTCAGAGTATATTTGCAAATTTTCTTTTCATTTCAATGTAAGATTAAATAAATTCTATGAGTGTTCAAAAAAAATACCTCGAGATATCGAAGATTTATTTTTTTCTTGTGCTACCTTCGATGTCCCTAGATTGTGCTTGCAAGACCATTTAAGAAAGTTTGGCATGACTTAACCAGTGAATTTATCTGATAAGGTATTTCTCCCGCCTACCTTGCGTGCCTTCGTGGTGTAGTGGTCAGCAGAGTGAACCGGTATTTCAGAGGTCCGTGGTTCGATTCCCGATTGCTCATTTTTCATCTTGCCTGCTTCCAAAAAAAAAATATCTAATGTCTCTACAGTGGCCCCCGAACTGAAAGGCTGATGGATGATGACTTTCCACACCCAGGATTTGTCGATTGGGTTCCTTAAAAACCCCAGTCGCCCTTTAAAAGGGGAAGTATATAAGATATTTCTCCCTCCTTCTTGGAGTGTCTTCGTGGTGTAGTAGTTCTGCACGCTGGGCCGGTATTCCAGAAGTCCGTGGTTCGATACCCGGCGAAGGCGTTTGCTAATTTTTCATCTTGCCTGCTTCCAAAATACCTAATGTCTCTACAATCTGTTTTTGTGAAATCTAGACTATGTTGTTCACTATTTTTGTTTTTTTTATTTGTGCATGTAATATTTCGTGTGTTAACTGACTTTCTTTTCTAAGCCTCGTGTCTGTACACAAGATCATTTGTGTTCAACAGCATCATTCAAGTGTGTACACAGCATCATTCAAGTTAAAAATAAACGGAGAATTTTGGTACACGATATTTTTTTAATATCCAGGTGGGCTGTAATGATAGGTGAATTAGTACATTTTATGATGTAAGTTGTTGACGTCATGCATTTAATGTATTTGTTTATGAAAACTAATCTTTTTTTTTTTTTTAAGCTGGGATCTACCCTATCATTTGCTCATTTAATTGTATTACTCCTTTTGCCCGAAATGAAAAAATTACTTTTTTTCGTTAGATGGGACTAGGATTTGCCTTATAGCAAAGTCCCCGCCGGGGAGATGCTTTTTGCCCATCAGCGGCCGAGCGGTAACTTCTCTGAACACTGGTAGTTCGGTTCGAGGTTCGAATCCCGCAAACGAGCTGGCTGCATGGGCGTTTTCATGGTTTTCCCCATGTGTAACGTGTATATGAGCCAGTTTCCCTTAGAAAGTCCTCCACGAAGGCATCCCTCCCTTGAGGCAGATAGCCCTCGAATGCTTTGCCGTAATACAATAAAACCAAACCAAACCTTATAGCAAAGACACTAAAGCTATCTGTCTGAAGAAAGTGATATTTACATGGACTTCATAATGGGAACTGGCTTTTATTCACGTTATACATGAGAAACATCATGAAAACTCCCTTGAATCTTGTTCGTTCGCGAGATCTGAGTCGCTGCTAACGACAGATCTTTAGTGATCTTATCACTGTGCCATTAATGGACCATTTTCATTGGAAATAAGTACATGAATCTAAGAACAAACGATAGGTCTTTACAAAAACGAAAGAAATGTATAAAAATATAGCCTAATATGATAATACATTGGACCAAATAAACACACCCATCAAAGGGAAAGGAAAAGTACTTGAGTCTTTTATCTGATAAGGTATTTCAGTTAGGGTTTTTTATCTGATAAGGTATTTTAGATAATAGCGTTGTTAATAATTATCGAATTATTAAAGTACATAAAATCAAAAATCCTTCTAAAAATCCGTTAACTGAAGGTATAGATTTTTATATATTTTTAGAATGATTTTATAAGTTTATGTTATGTATTTCATAAGAAAAAAGATATTTCAAGAAGAAAGAAGAATATTTCAGTAATGCTTGCTAAATTATAATTAAATTTAATATCTCCTATTTATTCAAGTTAAACATAAATGGGAGAGCAACGTAATTTCAATAACTCAGTGTTTTCAACATTCTTTAGGCTCGCATTGTCGCCATTAATCCATTTGGTTTATTAGATTACGGCAAAGCACTCGAGGGCTATCTGCCTCAAGGGAGGGATGCCTTCGTGGAGGACTTTTTAAGGCAACTGTTTCGTATACACGTTACACTTGGGTAAAACGACGAAAACACCCATGCAGGCAGCCCGTTCGCGGGCTTCGAACCTCGGACCGAACTACCAGTGTTCAGCGACGTTTCCGCTCGGCCGCTGGTGGGCCTAATCCATTTGGAATGAGGCTGCTTGGATACAGAACATTTTAAATATTCCTTTTTTTATTTAGTAAATCTATTAAAAAGTGTTTTTGTGAAACGTTTGATTGTCATCAACGAGCTCAGCTAGCATTCCAGTGACTCATCGCAGTGGGAGCAAACGAGCACAGCTTGCATTGCAAATACCTGACATATAACGCGCGTACTTGAGAAAAAATAATTCTTTAGCCTCGCAACGCCATAGGGTTGAATAAATATGATATTCTGTTGCTTTCAAATAACACTATTTGCACCGAATATTTAAGCGAAGTTAACTTTTAATCTTTTAGATCCAAGTCTTTCAGATATTTAAAGGATACCCGTGAACGTCTCTTCTAGCATCTCTTGCAGTGAAGTGAAGTCAAAGTGCACAGGAGATACGGATACGCTTTGTCGAAGGGAAAAAAAAAATATTTCAAAACATTTTTGTGTTTAGACTAAATAGTTCTTTTATTTGCTGATAATGCTTTTTATCTTTAATTCACAATTTTTCACATTATCGAGTCAATGCGTTGTATTATATGTTTAGAATAGTTTTAGGTATATATAATAGAAGATATATAGGTAATCCAACATTTTCGCTTAAATTCTTATTTTTATCATTATTAAATCCTTATAATAAAATTTCTAATTTCTAATTTTATGTTTCGTATAATAAAATTTCTTTTCTTCATGTCTTTTAAACATAATTAGAAATATTTAAATGCGTTTATGGCTAATAAAATTGCATATACTTGTGGATTGAGATAGAAAAAAGAATAATTTGTTTTTTAAATTACAAATAAAGAATTTTTCAAAACATTTTTACTTTTAGATAAAATAGTTCTTTTAATTATGCTGATAATGCTTTTTATCTTTCGGGAAACCTCTTATTATGATCACTTCATTAAGTAATCACCTAATGAAGTGACCAGCATTTTTGCACTTAAATAACAGCTACGATTAATTTTCAGCGACATGCTCTTCTGTAACAACCATTTACGCACACACGAAAAAAAAAAAAAAAAAAAAATTACCAGGAACTAAAGGTACAAGTTTTGTTATAAGCATTAGAAAGAAATATTTTAATATTTCTTTTAGACGAAACTATTACAGAAATTAATGTTAGTAAAAAGCAAATATAATTATTACAAAGCTTGAAAAATGTTATATGAAATAGATCTATCTATATACATATTTTTTATTATTCTTCATTAGCCATTTTGTTAGCCAACGTCACTCGCATACATAATAAATTTGAGCCAACGCTTATATAAACGTCCGTAACCATTAAGAGAGGGACATAAAAGCTGTTGCTAATTATACAGCCAAACCGGTCATAATAATTCTATGAAAGATAATGCTTGTAGAAAATGACTCAACAGCAATGATGGACTGCTAAGCATATAAATAACAGACGCAATGTTTAGGGCCGCATTAACAAACCGAAACTAATTATAACTCTAATTAATGTGCAACCTCGCTCCCACTTTTCTGTCTCCCTTTTTCAAAATTGTATGGTTTTTAGGAAAAGAGTCCCTCAGTAATAGGTTCATAATTAGTAGTTACAGTAATTTCAGGATAGATGGAGGTGAACATATTATCAAGGAAGTAGTGCGAATACATCAAAATATATCCACGAGGTATTTGGTATGTCGATGTCCCACAGAATAACAGAATTTCTGACAAACCAAACAGCACTGACCACGGTACGTAGGATTTCATTTGTAGAACCTCTGTTTTTTTTTTTTTTATATATAAACTTTGGGGGCAACTGCCCAACCAGGAACTACTTAATTCAGAATTAACCTGATAAGAGTTAGCTAAAGAATTCGTTTGATAGGAATGTGCAGTTTGGATTTC